ATCTGTGGACTTGGTGTCTTCCTATCTCCTATTAGCATAGATAACAGAGTTGTCTGTGTAATGATAAAGGGAATCCCTGTGCAGTTTCCCATAAATCTCCACCACTTGTCGCTGGCTCTCCTGGCTTGGACTCTAAGAACACTTCATTCTTACCAGGTCAGTTGCCATCTTTTCCTCCAACTTGCTCTCATTCAGTCATAACTGCAAGACTCTTAAACCTGAGCTGAATGGGCTCCCACGTTCCCTGCTTCATCCTGTGTTCCAGCCCAATTCCACCAGCATCTCAGGAGGAAAGCAAACTCTTACAGTCACAGCAAGATCTTACTGGCTCCAGAACAGCTTTCAAATTGGAAGCATTCCACAAGTTTACCTACATCAAATCAAAACATCTGGCCACATTAGCACACAGACAAATGCCTGAAGTAACTAGTGCTGGTTTCCAAAAGACCCAAATAAGGATCTATTAAGGATTTTCTCTTTTCAGTGATCAGATAAAACAACTTATTGGTCATTTTAAAAATTATTTTTAGACTTCCCAGAACCAGAAGGACTTTTGTAAACTCTTCTTAGCCACAGACCCACAGCTACCTAAGTATTTTCTCTATCTTGATAAAACTTACCAATAACTACATATTAACTGCATGCCATTAAAATAGGTTTAAAAAATCATTAGTTTTATAAAATTATAATATGGTTTACTCTAAAAATGAAATTTCTGATAGTTTATCTTTTCCATTCATCACTGATTAAAGATGCTGGTTAATCATAAGAACAAAGTTTCCTAGAACTAGCTTCATTAATAAATGATAATGAAAATCATAATAATATTAAAAAAAGAATAAAGGCAAACATCCATTAAGTGCTTACTGTGTGCTAAGCCCTTTTGTATTGTCTAAGTTGATCCTCACAACAATCCTGTTATTGTCTGTTTTATATAGTCAGGGACACTTATGAGCCCTGTGCAGCCTGCTCCTTATTCATGAACTGACATTCTTTAAAAAAAAAAAAGTTCAGGTGAGGTGATTAGAAAAGGGGAATATCTTTCTAAATCATAGAGCTTTTTCCCAATTAGCTTGAAACAGTCTTCAGATAAACCTCTGAAGCTAGAGAGAAAATTATTTTAAAAGGTTAGCTAGATGAATGGCCTTCCTTGGAATTTGCTAGCATAAATGCATTTCATACCTTAGATTAGGCTAACAAGATTTCTGGGACCCCTCCTCTCAGGAAATCTGAGTGCCTGACTGATCTGAGCTGACTGAGGTCAACTCTCTCTTCACTGTGGGGGACACATCACCCCCCCTTCCCCACAGGGTGATGTCTCTTCAATGTGAGGAACACATCACCCTGGGTTTTGGACTCAAACCCTCAATCATTCCAAAATCCTAAAGGCCTCATACCATTCACAAACTATCTGAAGCAGAATAGCCTTGTATATAAGATGCAGTGATTTCTGCCACCAAGAAACTGCAAAATGGGAAAATAAACCCAGTATGTAGTAGTTTAAGATGTATTTAATATGAGGCCTTGATTTTTTAATTTTTTTTTCAAAAACAGCACGACTGTAGCTCAAGTGTATGTACATCCAATAGAGAAACTTAGGTTCAGAGGTCTCAAAGAGACCTTAGAGGATGTTTAACCCCACTTCCTTATTTTACATGTGAGAGAATTTGCCCAGAGAAAGGAAGTGATGTCCCTAAGGTCATATGTGAGAACTTAGGAAGCTGACTCAAACCCCTCTCTCCCTGTGATCCTTTCACCAAGCCAGGCTGCCCTAGATATAACCCCATACGACCACATCCGGGCATGGAATTAGCAATACCTCTGAACCCAGGTGATGATCTGGCGAAGTTCAAAACTATCTGCCAAATTCCTCTTGACTGTAGTTTTAGCTAACATTAGATGAAATAATAATATTGATGTGAAGACTTTATTACAGAGATTTCCAAGCATTCAGTTAACACTTCCTACTGATATAGGTGGAGAACTAAAGCACACAAAGGTGAAAGGAATGAGGAATGGAGAAGGAACTGTATCACAATAATCAGGTTATTTTAGAAGTCTGCAAGTCTTTCCATTGTCTTTTGAAGCTGTGGCCAGGTAGAGACACAAGGCAAAATGATTATTTTTTCACACGTCCAGCCTAAATTCCCTCCCTGAGCTTAATTTATTGAAAAAAAAATCATATTACAACAGTGTTCACAGCAGCATTATTCACCACAGTTAAAAGATGGAAACAAGCCAAATATCCATCAACAGAGAGATGGATAAACAAACTATGGTATATACATACAATGGAATATTATTCAGCCATAAAAAGGAATGATATTCTGATACATGCTGAAACATGGATGAACCATGAAAACGTTATGCTAAGTGAAATAAGCCTGCCACAAAGGAACAAATATTGCATGATATATACATGTATCATATATTTCATATATAAAATTAAACATGGTATCTAGAATAGGCAACTTCATAGGAACAGAAACGAGAATAGAGATAACCAGGGCCAAGGGTGAAGAGAATTGGGAGTTATTGTATAATGAATGGGTACAGGATTTCTGGTTGGGATAATTTAAGAAGTCTGGGAAATGAATAGTGGTGATTGTTGTACAACATTGTGAATGTACTCAGTAACAATGAACTGTACACTTTAAAATGGTTAAAATGGTAAATTTTATATTACGTTTATCACAATAAAAAATCATATCAAAATCTGGATCATATCCCTTCATTTCTCAATTGCAATACATTCACTGCTATTAAAGCCCAAATTTCTTCGCAAGACCAGCTTATTAACAGCAACATCATGGTCAATCTACGTATGTTCACACATATAAACAGATGTTCTGTGCAGTGATCCATCCACAAACATGTATGCATCCTGAGACTACCTACATGATGACTCCAACAAGAAAGCCCATGGCAAGACTAATGCAACCAGTGTTTCTGGAGATCCTGGCAACCAAACACCCTGGCAGAGTCCCAGCTCAACCCTTAAATTCCTCATCATGGCAGAGGGGTGGATATATATTTAGTTAATGTATATTCTTATCTGTAAAGAAACTGTGCATTCGCCAGGAAGACCTTCAGGAATTGCTAACCCAAGTCTTCTCTACAAGGCCAATGAACAGAGATTTCCACCCATATATGGCTATTTGGTGAATTCAGCAATTGCATGTTATACTGAACAGAAACGTCCTTAATGCAAATGCACATAATGGGGAGCTAAATCTTTGTACCTTTACAAGACAAAGGATATATTAAGCAGGATGTACCACTTGTGACTTCTGAGGAAAGGAGAGTTTTTCATTTTTCCTTAAAGGAATCTATTTCTCATGAGGCAAAGAAAGTTTGAGAACAAGAGTCTTTTAAAGTAGAAGTAGGGAGGAGGGTGTATAGTAAGAGTTTTTTGTTGTCATAATTGATCACCAGGCCCGAGAAATGACAATTCTGTGCCATACCATGACCTTTACTCAACTTTAAAGGATTTTACAATCTCATCTCCTTTCATGGAACATTTTCCATTGCCAGTGGTTTGATAACTGAGTCTCATTAGCTTTTAAGGATCTCAAGTTTGTGAAGAAAAACAATCTCTAGTGATACTTCTCATTGCCTACACTCATGGATATTTAGCACAAATAACATGCCACTTATGAGAAGTTTACTTGACTTCATTCCCTTGCGCATCCTAAAGATATGTCAAGATCACACCAAGGTACCTAGAGGCAAACATGTTTAAAATAAGGTTTCACTTCCAATCAAAGTGCTTAATTAGCAGAACCACTATGCTAGAGAACTGTCCTTGAATACGCATGCATTTTAACCTCCATATTATTTTTTCTAAAGTACAAATTATCCTCTTACTGGATGGGCAGGAAATGATTAGGCACAGAAAACCAACTGTCATAGGTGTTGATCCACAAAATAAGATCCATCCTTCCAAGCAGGTTTTGGCTGCCTTAAGAGGATGATATCCCAGTTTATGAGGGAGACCATCCTTTGGAATCTAATGGCCTTTTCTCCATTCATTTGGGCCAAGCAATCCTCCTATGGCCTAGTTAGAGCTAAACTCTTTCAACACTTCCCACCAACCTCTTTTGGCCCCTCATGTGGTCCTCCCACACCCAATTTCAGCCAACCATGTTTACAAGACATCAGTTAGTAAATCACAATTCAAATGAACCCATCCATTTGTTCGGCAGAAAGTGGTCTCTGGAGTTGCTCCATGTAGAGCCCATAGGCCAGAGTTACATATGGCAGGCTTGCAAACATGAACAGGATATGATTTATTTATGACGACCATGTGTGTTTGATGCCCAGTTCCAGCAGGTTGTGGCTTCACTTGCCTGTCTCAGTATGGGATGACCTGTCTACTCACTGTGTCCCATTTCAGGTACAATATTTCCACCCTGGGGAAACAGAGATGGGCAACCGGCTGGAGGGCTGCACACACAGATGCCCCTACCCCTGCTGGTCACATAACACTCTGTGACCAAGCACAGAGTGGGCAAAGGTAACTTGCTGTGAAGGTTTGCCATATACAATGGTTTTCAGTGAAGAGTGAAGAAGTAGCTGCTGGAATGACTGACCGTGTGGGGTTCATTAAACTTGTGTATTTACCCACATGATAGGCTGGGATGCTTTCAGAGGGAAGCCCCACTCCTCATTTCACAGATTTTGACCACCCCCACCCCCCGCCACCTTTGGCAATGATGCTGCAAATGCGAATGGCAGATAGGCATCAGAAGGTCCAAACGTGGACTCCAACCGAAGTGCAGTAAACTTCTGTCTCCAACAGTCTCCCCCTCTTTACCACCCCCCCTGTTGTATTTATACTTTGAAAGAAGTTAACACCAAGCAGTAGACACCTGGGCATGCTCAATTTTTGACAAACCTTAGTCACTCTGTACCCAGCAGAACAATTCACATTATAGTCGAAATCCTGTGAAGATTTCTGCCACACATGCTAACACTAATATGCCAGTAGCTCCACTTACCTTCTTTATTAAGCCTCATAACCTCCCTGCTTTTTCCACCCTCTTTTCCAGCCTCTTCTAAATCTACATCTGCAGATGAAAAAGAAAAGGAAAAAAGAAAATAAGAGAAAAAAGCGAAAAAAGGGGGGGAAGCCAAAGTCAAGGGGGGGAGGGAGAGTGTTTATTTGCAAACAGATTGATATAAATACTGTATATGAAAATCTTTCCAAAATTGACAATGCGACGTTTTCTCCCAAGTCCGGATTTCCATCTACCTGGCCCAGATAGGTACCAAAAAAACTATGCAAGCAGCAACAGAGTAGCCTTTTAAACAGATACACCATGGGGCTGTGAAAGCCCACCCCGCGGGCTGCCACGGGGAGCCGGGCACAGACAGACAGACAGACAGTCCTGGCGGCAGGGCCTCTCTCTGTGCACTGATGCTCTGTCTCTGTGTGTATTTATTTAGAGAGAGAGGGAGAAGCATGGAGGACACCGGGGGCCACTCTCTCTCTCACACACACACTTTTTCCCAGTGGCTCTAGGTGAATGGAAAGGTTACAGGATAATAAAAGGAGGAGGAGGCGGTGGGGTTCTTACTGTCGGAGCAGTGTAATTTGGCGGCGTCGATCCAGGAGGACCAGGGTTTGCCCAGAAACGCCTCCGGACTGGGCACTTTGCGATCCAGTGTCGCCATTGCTCTTCCTTCTTGTTGCTTTTTCCCTGTTCCTTCGGCAGCAGCAGCCGAGAGACACGGGATTCGAGAACGCTCCGACGTCATCTTCGGAACGTTCCGACATTGAGTGTTCTGAAAGGGGGAGGGAGGGAGAGATGGGAGGAGGGAGGCGGGGAGGAGGAGAGAGAGAGGAGGAGGAGCCGGCGCCCGAGCGCCCGCAGCCGGTTCGGCCCCGCTCGCGGCGTGCACGGCCGCCAGAGGCAGCAGAGAGGCTCCTGAGGCTCGGCGCCCGCCGGGGAGGGCCGCGCGGCCGGCCAGCGCCGTGTGCCGGGGACCAGAGGCTGCGGTGCGCCGGGTGCGGAGGTGCTGCGCCGCCGCCGCTGCACCCAGTGGCCCCTACGGGCTGGGGCGGGGCTCTGGTGGCCCACCCCGGAGAGGCACGACGTGGGGCCGTAGGAGGGGTAGTCTTTCCTGCACAGTTGCCGCTGGAGGACGGAAAGTTTTTGCCTGCAGCCCTTCCAGGGTGTCCTTCCCTCGTCGGGTCCCTGACGCCCACGGCGAGGCGCCTCCACACGGATTCCCGCGGCTTAGTGGGGCGGAGACAAGCAGGTTTGCAACCTCCCCCCTACTCCCCGCCAACGACCACACCAAACCAGGGAAGGAACCCCGGTGACCTCGCCTCCCCGTCACCACTCCCCTTACCCTTTCTTCTCTTTCACGGTGGACCTTGGACCGTGGAGGATTCTCCGGATGCTTTTGGGAGCTGAGACCGGAAAGTAGATGGAAGTGGTTCTAAAAAGCAAGTGAGTTTGGGGCGAGAGGAGCTGCCTTCCCATTTCAGGCTGCGGGACTTGTAAATTTCCAAACTCAGCGCCCACTGTCCCCAGATTTCTGCGCGGTGCGCGCCTCCGGCTCCCAGAGACCCACTGCGTAGGCTTTGCTCCGGGATCACGATAGCGGGAGAGCAAATTCACCGGCTCCCGTCCACCGAACCTCTGGAGTTTTCAGCGCTCCCTACGGTGAGAGGAGGGTGGTCGGGTTTAGCGCAAGAAACCTACGGTCAGGAATCTGCTTCCCGGAAGAATTTATTTTAGGTTTAAATGTTCGAGACACCTCGATAGGAAGCGTTAGATTTCCTCTGGATTTTGGACGTTTGATGCTTTTACTGAGATTTCCTCTCTTTTCTTAGCGGTAGGCAATAAAGGCCTTAAAAGGTCTCCTGGTATCTCACTCTTTTTAAAAATCCTTTTGTTTACTCGGACTTAACCTAAAACATGGACACTCCCCCACAATAGATATATTTTTCCTCTATTTCCCCAGCACCCTTTTCGTTCTTACCACTTTTGTTTTCCCATGGCTGAAGCGCACTGATTTGAGTTCTGCCCTCACTGTGCCATCTAATTTCCCTCCACTTGGCATCCTGTGTCTCCGAACCAGCGTTAGGGTGGGCCGTGGTCTTCACTTGTGATGTTTGTGTGAATGGGCTTGTTTATTTTGTCAGAGTCAGATAAATATCATTTTCCTTTGTTCTTTTTGGAAGGATTCCTACATAGGGACCACTAAGTGGCCATGGTGCCACTGGGTGGAGAATTCTCATTTTAAGGATTGGTGGTGTTAACAAATATTTATTACTTACTGACTTCTTTTATGATACCAAACCTTGTGCTTAACCCTTCCTTCCTCCCTCCCTCCCTCCCAACCATCTATCCATCCATCCATCCATCTACCCATCCATCTTTTCAACAAATATTCCCTGTCATGGACCAGCCACCCTCGGCAGTGGAAAACAAGTGAGGTCCAGCCCAGCTCTCTGGGAGATGTAGTCTGGTGGTCTCTGTGGAAGAAGCAAGGTGTGAAAGTATCAACTCCTTGGGAAAACAAGACAAGTGCTCAAGTGACTGGCCAGGGCAGTAAATGGTGTGTCTCCCAGAGCTGTGCCTGTTCATAGGAGGAACTGAAATCTACTTTGGATGATCATAAAATGTGTCATTGAGAAGACGGAATCTGCTTTGCATCTTGGAAATTGGGAAGGTTTATAATGGTAAGGTGAAGGCTGGTCTTGCCAAGGGAGGGGAAGTGGTAGAGTTAGCAGAGGATTCAAGCTGTGTGTGTGGTGTGTTTAGGTGTTGAGTGTGGTTTACGTGGGATGGTAGGTTACTGTTGGGGACTGGGGGTGATGAGTTTGTATAGTCAGCCCTGGGGCAAATTATGGAAGACACGGAACAGTAGTCTGAAGAGTTTGGGTGGTGCTTGACCACGGGGAGCCACTCCAGGGGCTTTCTGCAGCGTAAGGACAAGTAGAAAGTATGATTTAGGAAAATTTCTCTGGCCTTGATGTCCAGGATGTGTTGCACTTTGGAAGCTGGTTAAGTGAAGTAATGCTACACTACTGATAACGTGAAGAACCGAAGGCCTGAGCTTTGGTGCTCCCGTGAAAGAGAGACGAGGGGACAGGGATGAGAGACTTATGGTATGTTGTATTCTTGGATTTTGGGAGAATGAGAGAAAGAGCTGCAAGGCATAAATAATGAGATCCTGGAACATTTTCACCTTCCCCTACTTTCTGATTTTTCTTCCATTTCAGTGTTTATTCCTCTATGGTTGTGCATGCAAGGGAAGATGTGGTTGGCAGCTTCTGAGATGACCCCGGTGATCGCTACATCCTGGTATTCATACCCTTGTGTGATCCCCTCGCCTTCAGTGTGGCTGCACCTAATAACTTGCTTCTAACAAATAGAATTTGGCAAAAGTGATGGCATGTCACTTCTGAGGTTAGGTTACAAAAAGACAATACAATGGCTTCTGTCTTGCTGTCATTGGCTTGCTGTAAGAAAGCGCACTGTCATGTTGTGAGCTGCCCTAGGGAGAGCTCAGGTGGCAAGAAACTGAGGGAGGCCTCTGGCTTACCCTCAGCAAGGAACTGGGGTCCTTAGTCCAATAGCCTATGAGGTACTGAACCCTGTCACCAGCCACATGAGTGAGCTTGGAAGCTTTTACTCCTCTAGTTGAGTCTTGAGATGAGACCATAGCGCGGGCCCAAACCTGTGAGAGACCTTGAGAAGGAGGCTCCCCGCTAAGTCATGCCTGTATTCCTGACCCACACAAACTGTGAGAGGATTAATGTTTGTCATTTTAAGTTTTTAAGTTTTAGAGTAACTTGTTACATAGCAATACATAACTACAATAGAATGACTTGAGTATAATGTGATTAGATAACAAAAAACTTAATAGAAAAGTAAGTTTAATAAAGGAAAAGACTGAGCAGTGTTCTCTTCCTCTGTTGAGCCTCCTGTGAATTGTGTGTCATCTTTCCTGAAATTTTTTTTTTGCTGGCTTTGTGGAACTGGTTTAAACTAGTATTTCCTATACTCTGAGTTTTGTGATTTATCTTTACCCTTTGGAAACTCAGGTTTTTGCTTTTTAAACTCAATTCCTGCTTTGTAGAAAGAGTTCTCCTACTACAAGATCATAATATAACTTTGGAAACAAGGTTATGCTATCAATGCCACCGGCCTAGTGGTGGTTACAGCCCTGCCCGCCTTGCCTAGAGGTGTGTGGAATGTACAATGATGAAGGGACGCAAGCCCAGTGGCTTAGAGCCAGTGACTTGATCTTCCAGAATATTCTGACTCCTCTCCTGGAAGCCACTTTAAAAACCACTCATAAAATCAAAGGTGACTTTTCCTTAGTGAAGTCAGAGCATCTTAGTTGCAGAGAAACGAGGCAATGGTTCGATATTTTAACATTAGTTTACTCTCTCAGCTGAGTCAAGTAGAGGTTATTTCTGCACAGCACCCTGAAGATGGTATGACAGCCTAAATATTATTCTCTTCTAGCTGAGAGGATTTTACTCTGCAACATAGTAAGGAATGGGCTGGAATCTAAAAGGGATTTAGCATTCTCTGCAAAAAAAGACCAGCTACATTGCCATTTAAACTGATAATCAGAACAGCTATACATTATTGCAGTTAGAGTTATGGAGTATAATTGCAGAGTTTCTATTCTAAGTCTTCCACAGGTTCTCCACTGACTACAGAGATAATAATACCATCTTTGTGAAACTACAACCCACCTATCACTTTGTAAATACGACAACATGGCTGCCAATTAAATGACACTGCTAGGAACCAGGGAATAAAGGGAACGTTGCTCGTCAAACTACTAGACTTTCACACTTGACTGTAGATGAAAATTGAGGTCAGTTGGTGTAATATTTAGGTGAACATGGTGCATATATATTATTATATACACATTTATGCTTATGTGTTGACTGTGTATTGCAAAATTATTGAAGGCATGAATTCCTTTTGATAGTAAATAGTTAAAAATACTGTTAATGACAATAAGTATCTTATACATTCTTAATAGGAATAAATTGACCTGCAGAGCAATAATTTACAGCATGTTAGCATAATGTCTGTGATAAAACTCTCTAGCAAAGGCATAACACCTCCTATCCCTCATGATTAATGTTTAGGAAGATAATGGAGATGTAAATATTTTTATTGTTTTATTGTCTTTCTTAGAAAAATGACAGTGGTGGGTTTAATTAAAAAGGAGACTCTCCCATAGACCAAATAAAGAAATCAGTTCAGTGAAGATGACACTGAGAAATACCTATTTAATTTGAATAACACCTGGTTCTGTAGAAATGTGCACTGAATATGTAGCCTGCTTAGTCTGATTCATGTACTGTTTTACCACATTATTGAAAAGTAGAGAAGGGGGAATATTAGCTCTCTCATTTTAGGATATTAAACTCCCGCTGGGGTTGAGGCACTGTGTGCACACCTTGCTTCCCACCTAGACGGTTGTTGGGAGTTATCTGGAGGCCACGAGGAGAAAATGACATGTTCCATTAAAATGAGGCATCCTTGGAATTGTTTGATGTTCTCTGCCTTAATTGAATCCATCTATCCCATCTGCCACTCTTTTCTCTAAATTTATTTCTCTAACCCACTCTCTCTGAGAATTGTAATTTGGGGGGAAATTTGTTACATACGTTGTTCCCTTTTATATACACTTTTGGCATCTGGAGGGCAGGTGTGCTGTCTCCCTGGCCTTGTTAGACAAGGTTGCCTGCCTCTTCCCTGCCCCCGCACATGTTGCTGGATCAAACGGGACTTGCATGAAAGACCCCCAGTAGCAACAGGAGTAGGAAAGAACATAGGAATTCCAGGCTTTTCAATATAGGGCCCTAACCATGTGCCAGGTCTGAATAAACATGGACTCAATAAATTTAACTACAAAAACATGAAATGTGCATTCTGGCTGCGGCAGAAAAATGCTTATGTGTTATTATTTTGAGGAAAAGCTGCCTTGAAACCCCTGGCAGATTCATCTGTGACTTTGATCACGTGGGGGTCCCTGGAACAGGTCGGACACGATGAGGTGAGGCCTGGGTTGCCCTCAGTGCGGCAGAGGCAGCTCCGTTCCTGATCACTGCTCTTTCTCAGGGGTTAGGAGGAAAGATAGCTTCCCTTTAGCATTCCTTAGAAATCACTTTGGGCCCTTAACCTAAGTATAAACAAATACAAATTTAACATTAATATACACATATTAATTGGAGCAAGGCCCACATACCCCTTCAAACTAACCATTTAATATGATTGATGACATAGTGGAGGGTGGAGGTCAGAGCACAGGCCTGAGAATGGCAGGCATTAATTTGAGTTGCTTTTCAGTCATTTGCTTGAGAACCTTTCTTAATCCATCTGAACCTCAGTTTCCTCATCTGTTAAATGGGTACTAAGGTTCTTCAGATTGTTGTAAAGATTAAGTGAGATTCTGGGTACTGAACCCCGGTATAGGGCCTTGCACACAGTGGACAACTGTAAATGTCCACTATGATTATTACTTCGGTTACAATGCATTCTGTAGACAACAGCAGCCAGTCAGGAGCTGGCTGACCCTCGGACACTAGGAGGGCTCATGTGGTTGCTGCTGACGGACATCCTTCTTTGAGAAGGGAAACAAAAGCTCTTCTTTCTCCTCTGTACTGGGCTGCTGCCCTGCACCAGTTGGTGGAGACTTCTGATACTTCTGCCTGAAACGTCCTCTGGATGACAAATTCAGGGCAGGGCAAATACCCCATTGTTAAGGGAAGACCCTCCAAGACCTTTTTGTTTTGTAAAGGAATGGCGAAATTCGAAGTCTGGGCGGACACAGAACTGCCTTTGCATGACAACGTAAACAGTCGTCCTCATAGTAAGCAGAGTGGAGTCTTGGCAAATTTTTTTTTCTGAGAAAAATCTACTTTTTTTTTTAAAAGAAAATTAATATTGAATTATATAAATCATGTATGAATGTGTCATTCCCCTGCTCCTAGATCACTCCCATATCACCAGGTCTAAAGGCATTTTTTCATACCATTTTCTATTTATCATCTTGTTGTATGTATTTATTCTTACAGGTGTAGGTGATATTGCTGTATGTGTGTGTTATAACTGAATCGCATCGTTATGTGGATATGTGTGTGTGTGTATTTCTTTTCTTTTTATTTCTGGTTGATGAACAAGCCTTATATGATCATAAACAAGACTGACGGGTGCAACAGACCATTTTGTGGATATTTTCCTGCAGCGTTTTTTTTTTTTTCACATATGCTATTACGTGTCATTACATATAGACATACCTCATTCTTTTAAACTGCAACGTAGTATTCCATAAGATGTTCCAGAGTATATTTATCTGTATCTTATTGATGGACTTTTAGGTGTCTGGTTTTAGAAAAAATAGGGTAGTCAACATCTTTATTTTTATATGTGAGGAAGTATTTCTACTCAAAAGTGAAATTGCTGGGTATATGCAATTTAAAAATTTTTTTAAAGATTTTTATTTATTTATTTTTAGAGAAAGGGAAGGAGAAAGAGAGGGAGAGAAACATCAGTGTGTGCTTGCCTCTCTCACACCCCCAACTTGGGACCACAACCCAGGCAAGTGCCCTGACTGGGAATCGAACTGGCGACCCTTTGGTTCTCAGGCTGGTGGTGCTCAGCCCACTGAGCCACACCAGGCAGGTCTGCAATTTAAATTTTAATAAGCTCTGCCAAATTGTCTTCTTAAATAGCTGAATAATTTATACTTCCACTAGCAGCATAGGAAAGTGTCCATTTCCTCATGTCCTAATTACTACTCAACATTCTCATTTTAATTTTTGACAATATTATGATTTAAAAAATCCTATTTATTCTGTATATTCATCATTTCTATATATTTTTGAGCATTTTTATGTTCATTGTATTTTTACTCTGTATTTTGCTGTTAATATCCTTTGATGGTTTGTTATAGATATTTTTAGATCCTTTTGTTGATTCTTGATTTAGATCTTTTGTCTGAAAGTAATGTAGTTTTCCATCTTGTTGCTTTTCTTCTTTTAACCTTGTTTATGGCATCTTGTCCATATGTTGTTTTATCAATTTGGATGTATTGGACTTTTCCTTGAGACCTTTTGCTTTTTGTGTTTTGCTTAAAAAGACTCAAGGCCATAAAATATTTTCTCTTTATTCATAATAGTTGTTTTGTTTTGTTTTTCTTTTAAAATTTAGATCTCAGATTTTTTTGGTTAATGAGGTGAGATAAAAATTAATTTTTGATCTTTTTACAAGCATATATTGAATAGTTTATCCTTTCTGTAGAGAGTCATCATATATTTAATTCC